GCGCCGACGTCAACCTCCATCTGAGCCAATGGGAGTTTAGACTGAGCATCAAAGTCACATGACTCTGTGAATCTGACCCGCTGAGGGTATTACCGAAAGTGAAAGTAAAATTTTACTCTGTGTTAGAGGAAGGCAGGCTTTGTTTTAGTATCTCAGCTTTGGTTGCATCTGAAAGGAGTATTAAACCTTCAGCTGCTCAGATCTTGAATAATGTGTAATTTTCTGGGAGCTACAGATCAGATCCTCTGTAGTTTATGGGGATGAGCAACAAGTTTGGTTTCACTGATGTTATGGTGAGTAAATTTGTTGAGGTTTGCCCTACAAACAGGTCTGGGCACAGAATAGAGCAACTATCAGGACTGGCGATATAAAAACAAGATTGTTTCCATGAAAGAATATTTCACCTCAGTGCAACTTCGAAATGAACAAAAGAAATCAAACTGTAGCAGAAAGAGAGTCAGAGAGCTTCTTACACACAAACACAGATCAGTCAATGCTCCTGAAATAACTCTGAAGAGAAGAAAAAGTAAAATAATTTAAACTAGACAGACAGACCTGGTCCTGTAGTGTCAGATGAGGTCTTCATGTCTACAAACACAGAACAAAATAAATCAAGACAAGGCAACACTAGTTCAACTACACCAGCTGGGGTGAAACCTTTGGGCCATACATTTCTCTACACAAATGTTACTAATCCATAATCTTACTTACTCATGTAGTCAGCATTAGAAAATGTTAATAAAATCAATAAAAATTTAAATAATAAAAGATAAAGAATAAATAATTGATTACAGAACAAAATGTATTTGTGTCTCCATCACACTTGATTCCAGTCTTACCTTCATTGGTTCTGATCTTCACTTTGTCCAGTTTGGTGATGATGTCGTTCTTCACACCAGAGAGCTGAAACACACATTCGTACTTCTCCCAGTCTTCAGTTGGAGGATTCAGGTCAACACTCATCTGGAAGGATCCATCGTTGTTGGGGAGGATCTCTCCGAGGTCCACGTCCTCATGAAGCTCCTCTCCATCTTTCCTCCAGAACATCAGGGCTCTGTCAGGGTAGAAACCTGTAGCGTGGCAGCTGACTGGAGAGGAGGGAGTCTTCTGGAGGAGAGACACTGAGGGAAGCTCTGGAGAGAAAAGAGAGAAGTGGAGGAGAGGTGAGAAAGACAGTGAGAAACAGAAAGAGATAAACATGGTTTGACTAAAAAGCAAATGTGCCGTGAGCGTCATCGTTTCTAAAATCCTACATTATTTCCCGTCTTCACTAAAACGGCCTCTGGAGTTTCGACACGCAAAACGGGGTCGACAGCGTTTCCAAAATTCTCCGTTTTAGGTCTTCATTTTCGCCGTTTTAGACTGGACGGGAGGTGCAAAGGTAGCAAAAGATCTCTGTTTTAATTCGAAAATGCAGTAGTGTGGATGGGGCCTTAGTGTTGCTTTCACCTACTAAAGAAGGTTTGCAGCAGAACCTTAATCTCCTGCAGAGATTCTGTCAGACCTGGTCCCTGACAGTAAACACAGCAATCTTTCCATACCGAGTTCTGTAAGAGCATCCTGCAGGTGCAGAGAAAAACTAAAAATACAGAAAAGATCAATTGAATTTTACAATCACTTAAAAAAAAATTATATTGTTTTCATTGTTTGATTTTAGTAATTGTTCCTTTGAAAAAGCAACCCATGAACCATACATACTTCATGGGTTTAGTTTGTTTGTTTTAAACATTTTTTACATTTCACATTTGATACTTGATTTTATATTATATTATATTATTATATAATATTATTTATAATATACTATTATATTATTATATTGTTGTTTCTTTATTGATCCTAAACATAAAATTACTTCTACATACTACTGACCTATGGCGGGCGTGCGCACGCACACACACGTTTGCCATTTTATATATTTTATTTTAATATTTTTAAAATTTATTTCTAAAGCGGTCTGTTCTTCAGCAGATATATACAGTGTAGGGTTAGAAAGAGAGAGGAGAAGGAAAACCACAAACATGATAAAGATCAACTTAAATGTGTAATTTGAATAATTGTACTGTTTTTTTTAAAACATCGTTGTGTCCATGAAACTACATCAGGTCATGTGATTCTACCTTTTCTCAGCAGAGAGCTCCTCCCATAGGCCAAATACCTCTTCAGCCAGTCAGGACAAATCTGGGTCAGGTAGTTTTTTCTCTGTGTTGTCAAAGCTCTGTTATTATCCCATTTGTGTTTGGTGATGACAGCCTGTGGTGTTGGAGCGATCCATGTCTCTGTCTTCAGGTCAAATGCTATGAAGTCTTCTCCATCATAACCATACTGATTAAACCCATTAAGCTCTCCAGTCTCATCGTCCCACTCACAGCCGTACATCCTCTGGTTAATGTGTGCACCTGAAAGAGACACACCAGTAAACAGAGTGAGATCACAGCTCATCTATCATCAGCTGATATCACATCTTCACCACAGAGACACACTGATCCACAGACACCAGAACAGAGGATCTACACCTCCCGCTGTTGGAGTGTGGTGTGTCATGTTATATCTCTGTTGGGACCTGAATACACACTAACTGATGGGGACTTGTGTCACAATGGGGACAAAAAAGGTAGGTAGAGACAGCTTTTGGAGGGTTAAGACATGGACAAACCTCCAGTTTGGTTGAAGCGCTGCTTTGCAATTTCAATGTTGGCTTTGAAGACCTGCTGTGCACCCTGAGAGCTCTGAGTCTCCCTCTCCCAGTACTGAGGATCACCTGCTGTGACTCTGCTCATCCAGTCCTGTTTGGGTTCTGCTCTCCTGGTGTTACTGTCATAGTGAAACATCTGAACTTCATCAACCAACCCAACAATCACAAACTCTGGGAAGTTTGGGACTCCAGAAGACGCAGTGTAGAAATACTTCAGAGAGTGAGTCGCTGTAAGAAAAAGTTCATGATTTCAGTTTTAATATCAGTTTTATAAATCACTGAACAAAGTTATTTTCCTGCACACAGAGTCGAGTTTTATTTAGAGAAACAGGGACAACGTACAAAAACACTTATATTTATAGAAAAATATGTTGCTCCAGAAACTCATTACTTAAATATTTGCAATGACTTTGTATTGAAAATCTATTTATACTGAAATAAAATATTAAAGTAAAGGGACAGAGGGTGTAGCTGCCCCAGACCCACGGTTCTCTCCGGTTACAAAGGGGTCGTCCTTGGACCCAATCTGATCATGTTTTTTATAGTTTGGTTGACTTTTTTGAATAAAGTGTGTTTGTGTGTCTTGACTACCATAATAAGTCAGATTCAGACCACATCTGAGTCTTCTGCAGAGGTTGTCCTCTCCTGCAGCAAACAGCACCAGCGTGGATTCCGTAGCCTATTTATATTGTTTCTGACTCCACAGACTCAGTATAGGCTGCCCACTTAATAGAGGCCCAGCTCCTCTTGCGTTTCTTTCCTTTGGGCTGAACGAACGCGGGCGCGGACCAAATAACCGCGTGCACTGGTGCAGTTCACTTAAAAATACAGTGATTGAGCTCCTTGTAGGCTGTCACACTGTCTGCTGTATTTCCTTTTTCCTCGCTTATTTTTTTTTTTTGAGAAAATGTAAGTGTGAAAAAAGCGCCCACTGTAGATGGAGCCACTAGAAGTCCTCGCCCCTCTGCAGTGAGGCAGCAGCTCCGCGCCTTGTTGCAGTTTCTGGGGTCTTTCTTCTTCAGGATGCTTAGTAGTGGCTTCAATTTCTGATTATATAATGTCACGCGAGACCATTATCATTTCTGTAAAGGACTTTTCTTTTACAATCAACCAACTCTACAAAGTTGTTAACTCACCTGCGGCTGCGCCATGTGGGCCCACTAATACCAGGAAAGCCAGGAAAACCAGGATCTTCATTGTGACCTGTCGCCTCAAAACATTTGATGGAAAGCTTTGTGAACTGCTGTCTCGCCAGTTCGAGCACTAAGGGTGAAATGAGGGTAAGAGGAGAAGGGGCGCTGACTTCAACCTGCATCTGAGCCAATGGGAATTTAGGCTGAGCATCAAAGTCACATGACTCTGTGAATCTGACCCCCTAAAGTCGATAACGAAAGTGAAAGTAAACATTTAGCCTTTGTTAGAGGACAGTGGGCTTTATTTTGCTGGCTCAGCTTTGACCTGAACCTTTTTTATTATTATTTTTTATTGTTTTTATTGTTATAACACATTTAACAACACTCTCGTATGGGGAACAAAAAAAATTAGATCACTTGGTACAAATCAAAAACCAGTCTTACAAACACAGGAAATAAATGAAAATAAATAAACAGAAAGGGAATGGGGGTACCAGTTAGTGAAAAGGCTATAGAAAAAAAAATAAGGTCTCATTTCGGTGCAGCAATATGGGGAGATTGTTAGAACAGTAATTGCTTGGATATATCTCTATACATCTTTCTTGCAATTATACTAGATTTAACATTCTTCAGTGATGAAAAGAACAACTTAAAATTATTTATGAACCACAAAAAAGAAGGCTTAGAAGATTTCCACTTACTACAATGGATATGATATTTACCCATGAGGACAATCACATTCACCAGATCAGACAAAGGCGGATCTACATTGTCCATATAAAAGAGGATGTGTGACAAATTAAAAGATGGAATATTATCAATCTTAAGTGACAGCCAATTATGTAAATCAGACCAAAAGGTTTTGGACAAGGGACAGGAAAAGAACATGTGTTCCAGAGTCTCCTCAGCAGCCTCACAAAATATACAGGGATCTACTTCAAATTTGAACCTTTTTTTAAGAAAGTCTGCAACCGGATAGATTTTGTAAATTATTTTAAAATGAGTTTCTTTGATTTTAGGGGAAATGGGCCATTTGGAATTTGAAATGTGGTTTATCTATGGATAAGGTATCCATATTTGGAACCTGTACACACAGCCCTCTGTCATAATCAGAAAAAAGCTTGGATTACAAAAAAAGTACAAATATGTTTGTTATTACATTTTTTATCATGTATGTGACATTCATTAATTACAAGATTGGGTAAGGTTGGTAGCGGTCTTATTCTTGCATACAGTAATGTGTTTTGGATTAGCTGTAGTAATGGTAGTGGTATTGCTTTACATCTTTTTATATTCTTTCTGAGTGCAGTTTAGAGTATATTTGTTCAGAAAAGCAGTATGCTCTAAAAACTTACCATTATCGTCTAATATGTTATCAACATTGACCTGAACCTTCAGCTGCTCAGATCTTGTATTAAGTTAAGTTTCTGGGAGGTCAGAGGTCACTGCAGCTACAGATCAGATCCTCTGTAGTTTGTGGGGATGCAGATGTCTTTTATTGTTCTTTTGTTTTGTATGTTTGCCCTGGGAAAGGACTCTTAAACCATCAGCATGTCATCATGTCAAGTAAAAACATACACAGCTTTCTCTGTGCCAGACGTTTCCCCAACTGATTTTATTCTTTCTGTTCTCAGAACATCTGCACTCGGAGACGCTTCATTAAGTCTCTCTATGAAAAGTTAAAAATCAGGATATATTCACATTACTGTGCAGTCAAAAAAACACAAATTAAGGGCAACATATTATATTGGATACTTTATTGACCTGTCAACCAACATGTGATCAATCACTACAGCAGGACTATCCCAAATATTTTACCAACCTTTAAAATCAGGGCACATTCACATAAAACAAAAGACATAAATTTTGAAATAAACTGTCTCAAGAAAAACATAGAATTTACATAGAAACTATACGTGATTGATTGTGATGATTTTGTGTTCTTATACATCCTGCTTTAAATCTAACCAAATGAAAAATAAAGAAAAGGTATCATGGAACAGATTGACATAAGAAATGTGAAAAAAAAGATTTACATAGACAGATGTTTTTACCTACAGACACTTGTGTGTTAACAGCACGGTCATCTGTCCTTGTATTTAAAGTGGAGGGTGATGGGAGCGGATTTTATCTCTTGTCCCATCCAAGTCACACACAAATACTCCTGTCCTGTAATGAAAAGAGCTCCCATTCCTGAAAATGTCAGCCTCTAATTTGAATTAATTAGTAATTATGAACATGTTTAAACATTACGTCTGATCATGGGTCTACATACTTATTTGGATAGCACATATTTTTAACGTGGCAAAGATCCACTGTGGATTGAAATAAAGATGAAGTAAATATAGTTCATGGTTTCTCTTCGTCACCCTTCTTTTAGCTTCCTGACCAATATGTCTATGTCTCTCGTCTGCAACCTCAACTGTAGCCAAATATTTCCCATCCTGTGTGTTTGTAGTGAAGCACATTTTATCAGTAGTGTCTGTCTGTAAAAAATAATTAAAAATAATTGAACAATATACAAGTAAAGGACAAAAAGGGGGCATGATAGACAGATTTATGTGCAGACAGTAACACATACAGATGGACAGACGTACAGACCATCCCCTGCTCTGGAGTGACTGTCAGAAACTGTCAGTGCTTTGGGCCGCGACTTTCTCTACACAAATGTTTTTATAATGTTACAACTCATGCATTTAAAGACAATACTTCTTCCCCACAAATAAAGAGGAGTGTGACAATCCCTTTTTCTATCCAGACATGAGCTCTTTTCATCTAGCTGTCATTATTTCCTGTTCGCATGTGTGTGAAGTCTTTGGCTGGATATGCATTTATTCATCCACGTAGTTTGAAAGAAAACTGAAAACATAGGAAGTAGCTGCTGGTGATTATCACTTTTGTTGTAAGAGGGTTTTTTAAAACATATTTTGCCCTCTTGGAAAATAGTTTTAAAACTGATGTGAGAAGAATCTCATCAGCAACTTAAAATTAGCTCTTTCACGGTTTATTGTACTGATAAATCCTGTTTTCTCGGTGCATAAGAGATCAAGATAAACTATATAATGATATTTGAAGGCACATTTGTCTCTTTCTCTGTTCCTGTCTTACTTTTGCTGCTGTGGTTTTTATGTTAATCTGACAACATAAAATTCAGTGTTTCCCTGAAATGTTCTTCATGACCTTTACATAAAAGTGACTTATTCAGAATAACAAATTGAATTAGACATTAGATTAATCATGTAAAATAATATTTGACTTGTCAGAATAAAGGCAGTTACTGACAGAAGTGACTGAAAACACTTCATTATATCTTGTGGACGGCATGGTTTTGCTTTTGAACAACATAAAGACAGCAGAGCATACTGGTGACACGTCAGGCGGCCAGAGCAAGTACAGAGTCATTACTTAAGATTATTCATTTTTATTGTCATTGCATGGTACTTTGAACCAAATTCAGGTGAACTACCTAAAACTGTGCTCAAAATACACATAAACAAAACACAACATGAACGGTTTCCGCAGGCGTCAGCAGGCGTAAATGTCTTCCAGAGTAGGAAGATGTGTGTTGATGATTTTTATGACTCTTAGCCTGTTTGTTAGCTGCTGAGCTGTTGCTGTAACACACAAGTATACTTTAAGTAGGAACACTCTCAATGGAGCAACGGTAGAAAGACACCAGAAGCAGCTAGATCTGCCTTCCAAATTCAACATTTGAGTATAAATGTTTTTTAAATAAAAAAAAACAAAAAACATCCGACCCAGTCCCTTGTGTTCCTCACTCTGATATATCTTAATTTATGTAAACTGAAGAATTATATTTAAGTTTAACTTCCAATATTCAGGATTTTATTATATCTTATGGCATTCAGTTCAGTTTCTATCAGTTTCAGTTATTACCATATTAAAAGCTGAGTTATATATATATATATATATATATATATATATATATATATATATATATATATATATATATATATATATTATTATTATTATAATAATTAATTAGAATATAATTTGTTAAATTCAAACATTCCCTCCAATATGAACTGATGTTTTGATCACTTTTAGTACTGATTTTAAAAGATTATTCCAGATTTTTAAAAGAGTAAACTTTCAGGTTTTTGCAGGTGCTAATTAAATTATTGATTATATCAGAAACCTGCACTGTCCTCTACTGTCTGAACTCATGTCGATCATATTTCTATGTTCACCTACACTAAAATTCTGACCCACTTAAAATTGTTATTTCAAATCTGATCAAGAATACATTTATTTAACATTAAACCTGTAAGTGCTCTCTGGTGGACAAACTCAGAGACGGTTTCTAAATGACCTCTAACCTGTTTGGTATTTATGTTCTTCAGCTTCTCTCAAACAACTTTTACACCAATAAACCTGCAATAAGTTCATAATATCGATTTATCACCAGCTCTACTAATCAGCATGCTGTTGTACATACAGTAATTGTTAAAAAGACCTGTGTGTTTATAATTGGTAACTAAATTACCAACAACACACTTTTTGTATAAAAATGATCAGTTTAACAACTTTATAGTTTTGGACAAGAAACTATAAAGTTTCTTCACTCTCCTGTGTTATTTTCAACACGGCTTTACACTTTCCAATTGCGTGCAATGTGTACGCCAAACTCCAATTTTGCGTGCATATGATACGCAAATCCTTCCCATTAACTTTGGTGGACAGCAGATGCGTCCAAATACCACGCATCACCTTCATCGCTTGTGACTTCACTAGCGACGCACCAGATTGCACACAGTTCACCTGATACGCGGACTATTCAAAGCAGGTAAGCGGGGGAAACCCATTATAACCTCTAGTTTTGCAATGAAGTCACACTGTTTACGGTATCATTTTATTAATTTTAGTGCTTCTGCATCACGTTACATTTGGTTGATGTGTCAAAATGACTACAGCCTAGTTGTTAGTCGGCTGCTAAGATAGCACAGCTGCTAACTTACCCAACTATTGACATTAGCCTAAGCTAACTTCTACTGTATCTAGAAGTGTTGCAGCTTCAAAATAAAATAAAAAATTAAATAAAACTGTTTTAACCACGTGGTGTCATGGACTTCAAGACATGGCTGATGACAGTTCCAAAAATGAACAGACTTAATTAGTGTTAGCAATCG